TTTTTTTTTTTTTTTTTGTGGAACTGGGGGTTGAACTCTGGCCCTTGCGCTTGCCAGGGGAGCGCTTACTCTAATGAGCCATCTTCCCTGGCCGGACCTCTTATTCTTGAGTCCCCAGTGAAGACGTCATTTGATAGGTCAGTAGTTCTCAACTTTCGTGCCCCAACCCAGCTGAGGATAAAGTACCCTAGCAACTAAATCGAACTGATTAATTTGTCTTTCTTGGGGGGAGGGGTTATGGGATTTGAATCCAGAACCTCCCACATGCTAGGCAAGTGTTAATATCACTGAACTACATCCCCAGCTTGAGTAGTTTGTTTCTATGGTGTAAAAACTATATTATAGAAATAACCTGGGGCTGGGGAGATGGCTCAGTGGAATAAACACTTCGCTGGCAAGCGCATTGACCTGAGTTCAATCCCCGGTTCCGCAAAAAAAAAAAAAAAAGCCAAAAAAAAAAAGAAATAACCTTTGTAGTTAAACAAGAGCATATTGAATGAATGACAGGTTAATATTCTTTGATTCCCTTCTTACCAAGCCACAATTTTTTATGTGGCCCCTAGCAATTATTTACAAAATTTTTATTGAGTACATATATAAGTTTAATGTCCTTAGTCCCAAATGCTTTACTCATTGAGATGTTGCTTTTGATATCTCTATATATTTTTTAGTTACACAGTGGAACCTCAGGTTACACAATTTGTTTCACAATTCTGGGGAAGATGGAGTTCATGAACAGAAGCAAATTTTTGCCAAACACTTAGGTTGTGAACTGAATTGTTCACAAACAGAAGCGCTTAAGAACTGAGATGTTGGGGCCAGGGAGACGGCTCAGTAGAATAAGCGCTTCCCTGGCAAGTGCAAGGGCCTGAGTTCAATCCCCAGTTCTGCCAAAAAAAAAAAAAAAAGAACTGAGATGTTATTGTACATATGCATATGTTTGTGTATACAGTATATTTTTTTTAGATCAGTCTCACAATGTAGATCAAGCTGGTCTTGAACTCATGATCCTGCCTCAGCTTGCTGAGTATAGGTTCAGACATGCCACAATACTATCTCCCTATTTATACTGTTTTATGATTGGCTTCCCTGTTAGGGTTGTAGTGCAGCTGCCGTACAATCCCTATTTTCGCCTACATTGTGTCTGTATGCTATTTTTGGTGGGTGGTGAAGGGATTAAAGTAAGGGACCACCAAAATTAAACCCAGAGCCTTGTGTTTGCTAAGCATATACTCTGGGTACACTCCCAGCCCTCTGCTTTAATTTTCTATGTCATTAATCAGCATTTACATTTTGGCTGTCAGATGTCTTTCGTGTGCCCCTCTAAATTTCTACTTTTGTATCTGCCCAAGAAAGCTACATGAGTCATGTCAACAGGCTTCCCATTCATCTAGGTTCCATGGGGCTTGGACAGTAGGGATGCCCAGCAAGAGAAACAAGAGTGTGTTGCTTATTCCCTTGGCTCTCTTCCTGCAAGGTCTCTAGGCCCGCTGTTCTTAGCCAAGTCACTGGCATGTTAGGGAGTATGCAGGGTTGGGTGCATGGGATACCTTTCAGTTCTAACCTACCCCATAACCATTTTGGGTCTGGAAGTGGTAGCATCTTGGGTGCCACCTGCTTACAGGGACCCTAATAAAATAAGCATGTGATACTGCATACTGCACAGATAACAATAGCATGCTACAAGTAAACTTCCTTTTACAAGCACTTTTCCTGGAGTAACCGATTACATTTGTCTTCCCATACTTCTTTTACCTAGCTACCCAACTGGTACATGGTTACATCCTTACAACTTGACTTTGCTATTACCTGTGTTGTTCCTCAGTTCCTGCTGTCCACATATTCCTCTCTTTATTCATTTTTTTTGATAGCACACCAGTCTTCTAATTAAGTACTCTTGGGCAGTTGAGGAAAGGAATTATGGAAGTGTTTTCCAGATGAATCCAACTGATTCCAGATGATTGGTGCCCACTTTCCTGAGAATTACAGGTCTTCAGGCCTTTTAATTCTAATAACCTGTAGGGGACTGTTTGTCAGTCTTACACTTTGTGATACTGATGACATTTTTTAAGGGAAGAGGTAGCTAATACATAGTTCCCAACTTTTTCTAAGCTAAACGTATGTGAGATGGAGGATCTCAGTAAGTTACCCAGGCTGTCCTTAAACTTGGAATCCTCTTTTATGTATTTGGTACAGGATCTCAATGTGTAGCTTAGACTGATAGTGATCCTCCTGTTTTAAGCTTCCCCAGCACTGGGATTATATGAGTGTGCCACTATGCCTGGACTTGGTCACCAGCTCAAACCCTTGTCCCTGTGCTTGCCAAAGCAGGCACTTAGTCCACTGAGCTATCTCAAGCTATCTCACTGGCCTGTATATATTTTTTTAGACAAAGTCTTTGTACTATGTAGCCTAACAGACTGGCTTAGAATATATTTAAGAAGTACAGTTTATCATCAGCTTTTCATAATAGACATTTTGACCAAAAATGTTCTTTATTTAAAAAAAAAAAATGTAACTATCCTATTAGGCCAAGCTTGGTGTCACCTGCTTATAATCCCAGTATTTGGGAGACTGAGGCAGGAGGTTCAATATGAGTTTGAGATCCTGTTTCAAATAACAAGGGAAAAAGTAGCCCAAGGGGCCGGGGAGATGGCTCAGTAGAATAAGTGCTTCCCTGGTAATTGCAGGGGTCTGAGTTCAATCCCCTGTTCCAAACACAAAAAAAAGAAAAGAAAAAAGTAGCCATTAAATTTATGAAAACTCCTTATTCACTATTTTGCCCATACCATGTTTTCTGGTTTTTATGGCTGATTGGAAAAAGCCATCAGCGGTCCTTGAACTGGGTTTGGTGGCTAAGGTTCTATACCATACAAGTGCTCTCTTGTTCCGAAACACCAGTCCTAAATCTGCCCATCTGTACACTGGATCTGCCTACCTGCTGAGAACTACCATTTGTTAAAACACCTTGCGCCTGGCACTGCAGGGATAATACACACATGTATCTGATCTTCATGAAACTTTGAAAGAGTCCAATGCACAGGCTCATAGAGCTGAAATATGTTAAGTGGCAGGCATAGGACCTTAAGGTCACTCAGACTCTGCACCAGGGAGCCATGATCACAGTTTCTAATACTGCAATGGCAATACTAGATTGGGCAAAAATAGGGTGAGTTTCAACTCATCAGTACATATTTGTGAAGCTTTTTTTTGAAGTTCTAATTTTGTTCACCTTGCAGTTTGACTTTAATTTACCTACTTTTCAATAACATTTTGGCTTTAGTAAATTTTAACTGCATTCCCTATCTTTTGTGAGTCAGGCTTATTTGCTCAGGTAATTATTCAAGGCTCACTTGAAAGACTCTGGGGCTTTGTCACATTTTCTTCATTACTGAGCTACCTTCCTAGGAAACATGGGTGAGTCAGCACTTTCTCCAAATGCCAGGCACCAGAATGCTGACCTGCTTGGGAAATGGAGTGGACTGAGAATTACTCCTCTGAGGTCTCCAAAACCTGTGGTTCTAGGCTTTTTTTTTTTTTTTTTTTTAGAACTGGGGACTGAACTCAGGCTCTTGCGTTTGCCAGGAAAGTGCTTATCTTATTCC